ATTGAATCATTAGCTAGATATTCTTGATATCATACGATCGTCAAAGCTTTTCATGAATATATTCATAAAGTGCATGATATGTAATATTCAACATGACTAGCAGATATTATTAACAAAATTCATTTTTTTTTGTTTACTTTAATAATGTTCATTGATATATAGTACTGCTTACCAAACACACAACAAGTGCTTAGAGTATATACATTTTTTTTTTCAAGATTTAAGACGAACTGAAGAGGTTCGTGTTATGAGAGTGATGCGCCTGTAAAATTCGTCAAAAGATATGAGTTTGGAAGAATGTGTGATTGCATATGAGTGTTTGTAAAAAAAATAAAAAATAAAAAAAAAATAAAAATGAAGAACAGAGTAGTATTTAGGTAATGTGACTCAAATAGAGACACAAATGAAAGGAAAAGTCAACTCATATAACAAATGCAATGTGTAATATGTGATGCAATGCCACCAAACAAAAATTCTCTATTATGAGAGTGTAATTCTAAATCATGTAGTTGTGTTTTAAGCAAAAGATATATAACAACTACATGAACACGAATCTGTGGAAGATAGTATGTATCGAAGGTTTCAACTGAGTGAGGACAAACCAATGTGCTTGAGCATAATACCATTCTTGAGTTCCAGAGCAAACTTCGGAAACAAGATTTCCAGACAATTTACAGAGTATGATTTAAGACACTCCAGAAAAACTACACTAGCTGATGCTTGCCCTCAAAGGCCTTGGAAACAAGTCAAGGAGAGACAAAAGTCAATTTTAGAAGGCCATCCCTCAACAGATAAAAGTTACTTTTAAAAGTCTTTGAATCTTGATGCCCAATACCTCATAGATAGTTCCAACTCTGTAGGATCAATACTCTACGCCCACCCACTTCTGATATGCATTTGCATTGACAGATGAGGGTCTGCACCGTCTCGTCTCAGTTAGAATGGCAAATTATTGGCAGACGAACATAGAAAATCCAGGAGTGGATTAAAAACATGTATACATAGTAGATTATAATCTTAGGATCTCAAGGATGTTGCAGCAGGAAGAGCCAGCATCTTCTTCATATGTTATCAATCAGTTCTCCCTAAATATGATATGAACAACGAAGAAATGGAGAGCAGAAGGGGATGTAGACCTCACAGATCTTTGAACGGACTTTCTACCCCTTTGCACACCTGAGGTTTGGAAAGCTGAAACCAAATTACGAGCTTGCACTTGGCAAGAGTTTCTCCATATATTTCCGGACTCCAAGGCCATTATAAGATTGAGTATCTCTCCCTTAGAATTATAAATGGATTGAATTGCGTTCTCCAGCTTGGCTCTTTTAGATTTTTAGAAGGGCTATAGAATCTATTGTTCTCCATCCTAATAATGTGACATTATTAACCTCCTCTGTATCGCCAATCAAATAAAAACAATCAAAGATAAATTAAAGAAACAAACTGGAGATGAAGGGAAATCTGTAACGTTTAAAGGTAACTGGGGTAGCCGTTCATACCGCCTTATTATAGCTTTCAAACGTTATTATCTTCATATAAAATTCCATCAACCTTTCTAACTATAGGTCTAGATGCTTCAATTTTCCCTAGAAAATTTGAATTTACTAGGATTGTATTCTTTAGTGGTCAATCATTACTTCGCTTTGATGAATTTATCTCGATTCCTCGATATTCATAATATAAAGCGATACATCATGTGCAAAAGTGTTGTCGACAACTTTTTTCTATTTTGATTCAATTGTTTTTTTAATAATGATATAACTTATTGAGATGTCTCTACTTTTAATATTTCAAATATTTTAACTTTTTCTGGAGTTTTATAATTAGTTATGTCTATATATTTTTCAAGAATATCCGTTTCCTATATGAGACATTCTTCCTTATCCGCTCCAATTTTATTTTATTATTATTATTATTATTTTAAGAGAATTTATTTGGAATCAAATGTCATCATGCTTCAAGTGTGTTATTGATATATTAAATATAATGTTGACGAATTGTCATTCTAAGGGTCAATTTGAGTTGGGATACTTAAAACTAGTGTATGAGATATTGTTAATCTCTTTTGTCAGCAAATGCATGTGAGCGAAATATTTTTCAAACTTCAGATTCAAATTGTCTTTTACAAGTGTCTAAATAATATAATGATGCAGTACATTTTCAGCTCCTTAATTTCTCACCCCTAACGCTAAGAATTATCCAACCTAATTGATAATCAGCAAACTACATTATAAAACAACGCATTTATTCTCAACAATATTTACTTTCAACTCCATGCATTGTGGTGAATCAATTGTACATATATGGCACTATTCAAAATAATTAGATGGAAAATTAGGCTTTGATCACAAGCCAAATATGAAGGAGAAATTTTAATGTTAACATGATGCTAACAGCATTCCCTAGAAAGAACTATGAAGCACTTTATTATCAATAGTAATGATTTATAAATTAATTTGTAGGCACTTAACAAATAATAGTGCTAAACTATTTTATTGTCATCCCAATTAACACTTATTAAAATGTCAAGATTTAAGTTCACTAACATTAACAAGATATATTATCTTGATTATATATAATCTAAAAATTATACTTATCATTTAACTTTTGAACAGTAATTTCGTAAACTTTAAGTTGTGAATACTTTGTAATTATCTAGTATATGTATTAAAACTATTGGATACAAATAATATCTAGATGGTCAATGCAAAGGGTGACAAGGTTCCATATATCATTGTAATTAATTTTAGAAATATAAGAAATTCAATTCTCATTTTAGCTAATGATGATTAATGATCAATTTTCAATAAAGAGAACAAACATTATATATGAATTGATTGGATTGAAAAATCTTCTACTTTTTCTTTGAATGTTTTAGTTCTCAATTTCACATCATTATTGCTAGTGATAGTCCAACTAGTCGTACTAAATAATGATACATCCAGCAATTGAACCTCGGTTCAAGACAATATTTTTCAGTTGAATAGCTATTCAACAAAATAAAAGAAATAGTTAATTCTTAAAAATATGATTAATCATGATATAATCATAGAAGACTGTCCATATAACATAAGTAGTATGTTTTTCTTCAGGGATAAATACTAATTCAAAATTATATTTATTTTGAAATATGTGCCACTTCAAGAGCATATTGTATTTTACTATTATTTATTCTAAAGCAATATGTCAATATTCTTCTGAAATATTGAAAATTATATCTTGCCCTTCAAAAGTAATTAACAATCTTCTGAATATATTAATTTTAATAGTGTGCAAAAGAGTATCTAATAATCATAATAAAAGTGAATTTATTTGGTTTCATCATTGATTAATACAAATAGGATATGCAAACCCCAATCATGATTTTCAAGACATGAAACAGGAACATTGAGAGTGGAAAGCAGTAGATGCAAACCAATAATTTAATGTGTAAACTACAATTATGAATTCAGGAAGTGAAACTAAGCATAAAACTAAATGATTTCAGATTACGGAAACAGGATATGACATTTTGAAGCTACGCATAAAACCTAAATATATTTGCTTAATTACATAAACCAACACAAATATGCACAATTACCATGCACGTGTTAAAAAAAATTCACACATAACCAAATTAATTTCGATACATGTGACTATGCTTACAAAAAAATACTACCTTTACTAAATGGGTAAATATATTTACTCCACAACTTTTGTAAACTATGACACATTTTAATTACAATGAATACCCTTAAAGTTTTCTTATTTTTATGCTTATGTTCTCAATTTTTTTCTTTTTTTAATTTTTGTCATCGACCCTCTATTAAATTTCACGTATTGTCTATAGAGATGATTTTTATCCAAAATGTTTGTTATGAGGGCCAACAGACATATTTATCTTCCGTATTTTTAAATAATCGAAATAAATAACTAATAAAAAAGTTAAACAAAATATTTGCCAGTATTTTCGATGCAACTTAGTATAATATTTGGATGAAAATTGTTGTTAGAGGTAAAATATATTAATTAAATGAAGGTTAAAAATGACAATGTGACAAGAAAAAAGGTTTAGAATAAAAGTATAAGCGATCAAATATTGAAAACCTTTCTTGTAATTAAAATGTTATGTAGATATAAAAATTTGTTGTGTGAATATTATTATTCTTACTAAATTTTGAAAAATTAAGTTTTCGTACTGATAATATGTTATAAAATAAAGAAAAAGTGAGAAGAAACTAGACAGATCAATAAAGTTGTGTGTATTATATTGAGAACCAAAGCTCCTTTTTAGGGAAGAATTAGAGATACAATTGTAATAATAACAAGGATTGTAGGGGTATAATTGTCATTGACTAATAATTGTATTATTTACAACAAATAATTATTTTTAATCATATATTTTATGGGATTTACAACATTTCAACCTATATTCTATCAATTTTATCAAAATATACTAAAATTCTGATTTTTGTTTCCACCAAATGGGGCTAAATATAAGATGAATTAAATGAAAAAATATTTGTTTATTAAGAATTGTAGTTTTGTTTTTTAATAGTCCCTGTTTAGTTTAGATTAAAAAAATTTAGTATATTTTGATAAAATTTGATGAAATGTGTTGTTGAAATTAATTTTTGATTTTAACTTTAATTAAAATTTGAATCCCTACCAAACATGGACTTATTTAAATATTTACTAAAATAGTTATTATAATCTCGCTATTTGTTAAATATGAACACAACGTGCAATAGTAATAAATTTAGCCATGTTTGGCATCATTAAAAATTACATTTTGATAAAAAAAAATGATAAAATGTGTGATTCAAAAATTATTGATCTTATAAAATATGTTATTAAAATTAAATGTTGACTTTGACTTTGATTTTAATCAACAAGTTAGCCTCAAACACAAACAGGTCTTTCTTTCGAAAGAGATTCATTTATATCAAACTTTCGAAGATTAGTCCTTTAAATATCTCTCCTCTCTTCTCTCTATTTATTCTTGAAAAATCTTGGGGTTCTCAAGAAATGAAACCTCAAGGAGCCATGAAAGATTTCGAATCCCTTCTTTGTCTCTGCAATATCAAAACGACAACATTATTCAAACTCATAATTTCCTTCATTATTTTCCTTTCATTTTCATATGTTTTTAACTCAATAAATCTCACGTCTTTTAGCATTCAATCCCTAGAGAAATCACTGAGAAACTCGAGTTCCATCTTCGTTCAAAACCCTGCAGAAAAAAGCGCCGGAAATTTCCAGACTTACCCTATAAAACCCCAAGAGAAGACACAACTCCGTCACATTGTTTTTGGCATTGCATCTTCATCAAAACTATGGAAACACAGGAAGGAATATATCAAACTATGGTGGAAACCAGAGGAAATGCGCGGGTTCGTATGGCTAGATAAGCCTGTAAAACGAAGCACAGACGATAAGCAATGCCTTCCTTCAGTGAAAATATCGAGTAGTACATCGAAATTCAAGTACAAAAACTCAATCGGTGATCGGTCCGCGATAAGAATGTCTCGAATAGTATCAGAAACAGTGAGACAAGGGTTGGATGATGTTAGGTGGATTGTTTTGGGGGATGATGATACGTTTTTCTTTGCTGAGAATTTGGTTAGGGTTTTGTCAAAATATGATCATAACCAGTTTTATTATATTGGAAAATCATCTGAAACTCATAGGCAGAATATACATTTTTCTTATAATATGGCTTATGGGGGTGCTGGTTTTGCCATTAGTTATCCATTGGCAAAAACCCTAGAAAAAATGCAAGATAGGTGTTTACACAGATACCCTAAATTGTACGGCTTAGATGATAGAATTCAAGCTTGCATGGCTGAACTTGGAGTTCCACTCACGGTAGAAATGGGATTTCATCAGGTTTCCTTCCCTCTCTAGAATTCTTGATTATACTTTATGAATTTGCTTGTTTACAATTATAGCATTTTAGTTGATTTGAAATTCTATTGACTTTGGGCAAGTAATTTTATATTTTAATTATTTATAAAAAAAAAAAAAAAGCTTGGTATAAATTTTGTGACAAATTTATTTCTTCATTAATTTTATGACAAGTAATCGTCCTACGTAACATTTTATGTGGCAGCTTGATATTTGAGAGATGTTTGAGCCCCATTTTTATGAAAGAATGCATTTTATAATAATAGATTGATGAGAAATATGTGGTTGAAAAATAAAGAAAAGTTTTTGATTTATCTGTAATATTATTTTAATGAGGAATGTGTGATTAAAAAGAAGAGAAAGAAAAATGTATTTTGGAGAAAATGAGAATTAAACAAAGACTTTGAGGCATTAATTTTCTGTAATTTTATTTTATTTTTTTTGCACCAACAACAAATTGAGATATATGACGATTACTGCCGTTGCTTACTCTGAATTAATTTTTACTTTTTATATTCCTTCTTTTAAAAGATCAAAATAAAAATTTATGAGTGGTTGATTTTGTGATGGAATAGTAGCAATTGATGGTTTTTCTTGAAATTCATATTTGCATTTAGATGTAGGTTAAACAGTTGAAATTAATTTTTAATATTATAATTTGAATTAAGATACAAAAATAGGTCAAAATTAATTGTATTTGTGTCGTTTTATTTTTTATCGTGATTAAGTAAATTTTTATTTGTAATTAAGAAAAAGCAATTTTGATAATATGTACAATCTATGTTCACAGCTGGATATTTATGGCGATGCCTTTGGGCTCTTGGCGGCCCACCCAATTGCGCCACTACTCTCGCTCCACCATCTCGATGTGATCGAGCCCATTTTCCCCAACACGGGCCGGATCCAATCCCTTCGACGTCTCAAAATGCCGATGAAGCTCGACTCGGCTGGGCTCATGCAACAGTCCATTTGCTACGACAGTGTCAAAAACTGGACTATATCTGTGTCATGGGGCTATGCAACCCAAATTTTTCGGGGCATAGTTCCGGCCCGCGAAATGGAAATTCCTTTAAGAACCTTTGCCAATTGGTATAGAATGCATAATGAGGTTGGCTTCTCAATGAAAACTAGACCTCTTAGCACAAATGCATGTCGAAGGCCATTTGTGTACTTACTGTCCAATGCCATATATAATCGGGCAACAAATCGAACGGCGAGCGAATATGTTAAGATTCAAAATCGAAACTCAGAATGCAACTGGAAGGAGACAGCCAATCCTTCTCATGTTTGGAGAGTGGAAGTATACAAAATGCGTGAACCCAATTTATGGGACAAGGTAACTTAATATCCCTTTGTTCTCTCATTTTTAACATAAACATTTCTACACGTACACTTTAGTTTACACTTTGCTACGTATCATTTTCCAATTAGACAATTTTTATTTCAAATAATTTTTTCATCCAATTGATGCTTGACAATAATGCAAGTGTCAACCGAAGTGTAAAGAATCAGTGTACAAATAGCACAATCCTTTTTACTTTTAGTACTAGTCATTATGAAGTCTATTATTTGTTCTTCCTTCAGTAATAGCTCACATTTTTAAATGAGATAGATTTTAAATAAATGTCTCGAATTCAAATTTTGTCATCACTTATTTATTAAAATAAAATTTAATTTGCCTTGTCTCTAATCTTCAACGTAATTTTTGCAGCCTCCTAGGAGAAACTGCTGCAGAGTGTTGCCATCAACAAAGGAAGGAACAATTGCAGTTGAAGTCGGTGAATGCAGAGAAGGAGAAATTATTGAATTGTAGATAAAGAGTATTATTTTTATAATTTTTTACTTTTTTACTAATTTTTTTCCTTCTAATTGTTGATATTGAATCATTAGCTAAATATTCTTGATGACAAACGATCATCAAAGCTTTTCATGAATATATTCATAAAGTGCATGATATGTAATATTCAACATGACTAGCAGATATTATTAACAAAATTCATTTTTTTTGTTTACTTTAATAATGTTCATTGATATATAGTACTGCTTACCAAACACACAACAAGTGTTTAGAGTATATACATTTTTTTTTTCAAGATTTAGGACGAACTGAAGAGGTTCGTGTTATGAGAGTGATGCGCCTGTAAAATTCGTCAAAAGATATGAGTTTGGAAGAATGTGTGATTGCAGATGAGTGTTTGTAAAAAAAATAAAAAATAAAAAAAAAATAAAAATGAAGAACAGAGTAGTATTTAGGTAATGTGACTCAAATAGAGACACAAATGAAAGGAAAAGTCAACTCATATAACAAATGCAATGTGTAATATGTGATGCAATGCCACCAAACAAAAATTCTCTATTATGAGAGTGTAATTCTAAATCATGTAGTTGTGTTTTAAGCAAAAGATATATAACAACTACATGAACACGAATCTGTGGAAGATAGTATGTATCGAAGGTTTCAACTGAGTGAGGACAAACCAATGTGCTTGAGCATAATACCATTCTTGAGTTCCAGAGCAAACTTCGGAAACAAGATTTCCAGACAATTTACAGAGTATGATTTAAGACACTCCAGAAAAACTACACTAGCTGATGCTTGCCCTCGAAGGCCTTGGAAACAAGTCAAGGAGAGACGAAAGTCAATCTTAGAAGGCCATCCCTCAACAGATAAAAGTTACTTTTAAAAGTCTTTGAATCTTGATGCCCAATACCTCATAGATAGTTCCAACTCTGTAGGATCAATACTCTACGCCCACCCACTTCTGATATGCATTTGCATTGACAGATGAGGGTCTGCACCGTCTCGTCTCAGTTAGAATGGCAAATTATTGGCAGACGAACATAGAAAATCCAGGAGTGGATTAAAAACATGTATACATAGTAGATTATAATCTTAGGATCTCAAGGATGTTGCAGCAGGAAGAGCCAGCATCTTCTTCATATGTTATCAATCAGTTCTCCCTAAATATGATATGAACAACGAAGAAATGGAGAGCAGAAGGGGATGTAGACCTCACAGATCTTTGAACGGACTTTCTACCCCTTTGCACACCTGAGGTTTGGAAAGCTGAAACCAAATTACGAGCTTGCACTTGGCAAGAGTTTCTCCATATATTTCCGGACTCCAAGGCCATTATAAGATTGAGTATCTCTCCCTTAGAATTATAAATGGATTGAATTGCGTTCTCCAGCTTGGCTCTTTTAGATTTTTAGAAGGGCTATAGAATCTATTGTTCTCCATCCTAATAATGTGACATTATTAACCTCCTCTGTATCGCCAATCAAATAAAAACAATCAAAGATAAATTAAAGAAACAAACTGGAGATGAAGGGAAATCTGTAACGTTTAAAGGTAACTGGGGTAGCCGGCAAAATAAGGGATCATTAGTTTTATTTTCATTACACATTAAGAGATCAATAATTTTCATTATATAAACTTATGGCTCTATGAATGATATGCCCAATACAGAACACTGGAACTTACATGGTCCTCAAATTCAGCACTGCTCAAATTGATAGTTAGATTCTTTATCAACATTAGCACCTGGAGAAAAGCCGTATTAAGACGAGTAATCGATGATCTGTCTCGAAGAATTCAAAGAAATATCAACTGATCAGGCCTACAATATATCAATTGATAATATAAACTACTGAGCTATAGCATTTACACACATACACACACCAAGAGCATGTTCGGGTTTATCTTCTGCTTAAGATTGATCCATTCTGTGTTAACAAGAAGGAATGCAGAGTGCAAGTTCCAGCCTCATCTCGAGGAAACTCGAACACCCATTCTAAGAGAGGGAGGGAGGGACTGAAACAAAGAAGAACCAACTAAAGCTCATACACTATTCCCTAAAGCCAGAGTATGGAAGTCATAGCCCCTATTTGGTGGAGATTAAAGTCAGATTTTTAGTAGATTTTGATAGAAGATGATGAAATGTGAGGTTGAAAAATTGTAGGGCCCATAAAATGTGGTTAAATTTGATTGTCGACTTTGACTTAGATTAAAATCTAGATTTTAATTTGTACGAAACCGGGGATTAATGTATAAACTTTAATACAATCCATCCAAACCAAGTAAATATTGCATTCTCCGACCAGAGCATATTTGAAGAAATTATTGGAATGACATAGTACCAGAATGAAGTGGGGCCATAGACATATATACACTGTGCAAGATGACTATCTGATGTAGGATGAATAAGAAAGAAGAAGGAAAGGGGAGGAGAAACAGAGAGAAGGGAGAAGAGGAGAAGAAACTAGAGGAAGAGAGGGGAGGGAGAAAACGGCTGCAAGCCACCAAAAATATTTCAATTCTAATTCATCATCAACTGTCTCAAATGAGAAACAAAACAGAAATAAATAGTAGAACACAAACCCTAAAGAGAAGGGCTTGGGCCAAACCCACTAAACAAGCCCAATAACA